ATATATATATATATATATACATATATACATATATATATATATATATATATATGTATGTACACGCACCAGTCCATAGTCGTGAATATCTGTCCAGAAATTAGTAAAAGCAGCATGAATCCTCACAGATCAAATATTTTAAGATGTGTGAGAAGCTATAACTGTGCTATTAGTTTTAGCAAGACTGAAATCCTCTTAATCAATGCTGCCGATGAGGCTGATAATCTTTAGAGACTCCCTGTCTCTCGCTATTGATACAGTTTAGATCCAAGTTATAGCTGACTTCCACCAAAGCATGACAAATGGGATCAATTACAGAACTAAGCTCAAATCGTCACGTGTCACACTTTTTTTCTCTCCCAGTGGAAGAGTGGTTTATTTCAGAGACAATTAACAGAAAAGAAATAAATCTGCCATTCACTGAGAACACGGTGATCCAGGCAGTTGACATAATGTAAGTAGAAGCTGAGATGGAGCCCTTTACTACGCTTCTTAGATCCAATGAAGCAAATACAGACAAATTTTAGAAAGCAGAGTTCTCAGAAATATAAAACTTTCTAAAAAAAACCCTTCTAAAAATAATCATTAAAACAATCTTGTACTGTTTAGTAGACTTGCAGGTTAGTTATACTTCATTCCTTATTGACTTACAGTGGTCATCTAACATACATTACTTCAGCAAACTGTAACCACATATGCTTACATTCAAATGCTCCGACTATAATGTGAAATCTGTATATTGTTTCTTGTGTGTGCCCCTGCAATTTAAACTTGTTTTATTATAAGATGCAATAAAACAAGATTAAATCTACAAATCTTCATGTCTTAATAACATAACAGTGTCATCTGTAGCTTGCACCTGTAAGTGACAGAGATGACAGATATGAGCTTAACTGTGTTACACGCTAGTTTAAAATACATTACTGCTCTACAATGTCATATACCGGCTCCCGTCATTAGTGTCTGTGTGTTTTATCTGCCATTTCCATGATAAACACCACAGCTGAGAGTAAACTGGAAAGCAGGCAGCTTTTTTCCCAACATAATTGCTTTATGATGAATTGTGGCTGGTGATGACAA